CCTTGCCCTTTACCTGATGCTTTTACCAGCATATTTGATTTGGTCTTTTCCCATATCGCTCTTTGTTCTGCTCTGATGGAGCGAGCTCACATTTGTGTTCGCTTTTTGTTTTCTTATTTATTTACTTCACTTTAACCCCTTTGTTTTTGCTCATCCGCATCCGCATCCTCATCCGCATTTGATTTGTGATTTATGTTATGTTAATTGACGCCCTGGGGCCGCTTGAATTCTCTTGTAACTCCATTACGGACAATCGATGCAATTTGATACCATTGTTGCGCATTCCAGGCTCCCATAAATCATTAATATTTATTACTACACAATATTGTTAACAGGCAGGGGGATAGCAGAAGTCGAAATCAAGTCAAAATCAGCAAGAAAGAAATGTTCAAAATTCCGACTAAAAGACATCCTTTTCAGCTGGATATTTGGTACTCTAGAAAAGAATAGATTATTGATGTGATTAGGGATTTAACATTTTAATAGTCTATACTTTTGTGGATGAACATTATTTCCTTCTGGCTGTTGCATCCATTTCCAGGAACACCAAATCCCCCTTTTGTTCTACAAGTACCAGGTACTAAAACTATTATCTTTATAAGCTTGAAATTACGTTAATGGAAGCAGCATCAAAATCAAATCAACATCATCAGGGGAGCCATCTGAGATGTTTGATGATAAGCTCAGCAAATTTTCACTATGCAATTTCGGGTTTAATATTTCGAAGAAAATCAAAGAACAAAGGTAAAGCATCCAAGTCAGGATAAGTCGTAAAGCGGGGGCAAGGAGCGTAAAGGGAGCCAGCCGAACTGTCGAATATTCTGTGATAAATGAGACACAAACGACGCTGAAGGTTGCCCCAATACTCATGGCCAAAAAATACCTTGCGGCCCATTAAGAAAACCCAGAGTAAAACACTTTTTAGCACGACAGTAACGAGCCGAGCCGGTCGAGGTCCGGGGCCGGGGCCGGAGCCGGGCCATCCGAGCTGAGCTGAGCTGAGGCATTCGCCCACACACTGAGGCACTGACACACACACATGCCCAGAGGATGTTAACCGCATCACCGACTCGAAGCATCGAAGTGCACCTGCAGCAGCCGCACCTGCACTTACACGTGCTTAGTGGGTTTGATGAGGCAAAGGATGCTGACAGACAGAGCAACGCCAAGCTAAGGAGAGGGATTGCATGGGTTGGCATGGGGATGTGGGTGTGGGTGTGGGTGTGGGGTTGGCTTTTGATGGCTGGGAGAGAGTTGAAAGGAAACGCCAAAAAGGCAAAATGAAATTATGTCATACTCAAGTGCATTTTAAATATGCGAACGAGGCTAACTGAACATTACCCTAGCCCAAGCCAAAGCACATTACTACGCTGCCACTTGGGCTCTTTTTTTTTGGTCCCTTTGCAAGTCGAAGGCGAATCCGTGGGTCCCTGAGAGTCAGCTCATAGCTTGAGATTATCTCCCCCCAATACAGATGCTTCTACGAGTATTTGTGTGAAAGAAATCGGATTGGGAATGGGAAAATAAGAATGGGAACTGAACCCAAGCATATTACTTGGAAATCAATTTGTGACTTTTAAGCTCTTTGGGGGATTTGTGTTTCACTCAATTTGCCATAAGGAAATATGTGTATGTTGGTGTGTGTGTTGGTGTGGTCTCCAAACTACAAAACTTGCTCCAGGCGAACATGTGTTCGCATGAAACCTACGAGTATGTGGGTGATATTTTACAGCGGTTTGGCTTGATTGTCAATTGGAATTCTTGATGGGAATGGGAATTACCACGATGATGATGTTTCCGAGTTTGAGCTTTGTGAAAGTGCAGCCCAGCCAGCAACTACTTACAACTGTCTCAATATTTCTCTGACTTGATACTCCTAATATCCCCTACTGCCACTCCTATTCGTATTGAGACCAAGTGCACTTTTGTTTGTCTTTCAGTTTGCGGTTTATTGAACATTGGTGTCGCTGCCATATTCGGACCACAATCCTCGCATACCGCCAGCCATGTACAGAGCATTTGTGACAACATGGAAGTAAGTATGAGCCTGAATGTGTGTGGCTGTGGGTGCGGGTGGGAGTGGGAGTGGGGCGGGGCTATGAATGTTGAATGGGAATGTGGATGGTGGCAGATGGAATGCAATTGCATTACAAAAGTAGGATGATGGCAATAGAACCCTTCTAAAGGAGAGCCACCCACTCATTCTAGATACCGCATTTGGAGAATCGCTGGGACTACCGACTGAGGCGGGAAAGCTGCCTGGTGAACCTTTATCCGCATCCTAATACACTCTCAAAGGTATGAATATGCTTCCTTGGCTATGCTGCCTCCCTCTTCACGATGTTGACGCTTGTGTTTGAATTAAGGCTTATGTGGATATTGTACGGCACTGGGGCTGGAAGACGTTCACCATAATCTACGAGAACAATGACGGAATCGTGCGACTGCAGGAGCTGCTCAAGGCACACGGCATGACACCGTTTCCCATTACGGTGCGCCAGCTAAGCGACAGCGGGGATTACCGGTACGAAACAACATACGACAATAATATACTTACAATATTTACATGCCCCACATTCCGCCCTAGTCCCCTTCTTAAGCAAATCAAGAACTCAGCCGAGGCCCACATTGTCCTGGATTGCTCCACGGAGCGCATTCACGAGGTCCTCAAGCAGGCCCAGCAGATTGGGATGATGAGCGACTACCACAGCTATCTGGTCACATCACTGGACCTGCACACCGTGAACCTGGATGAGTTTCGCTATGGCGGAACCAACATCACCGGATTTCGGCTTATCAACGATAAGATCGTCTCGGACGTGGTGCGTCAGTGGAGCATCGATGAGAAGGGCCTCCTGCGTTCGGCCAATCTGACCACAGTACGTTCGGAGACGGCTCTGATGTACGATGCCGTGCATCTGTTTGCCAAGGCGCTGCATGACCTGGACACCTCGCAGCAGATCGACATTCATCCGATCAGCTGCGACGGGCAGAGCACCTGGCAGCACGGCTTTAGCCTCATAAACTATATGAAGATCGTCGAGATGAAGGGCCTCACGAATGTGATCAAGTTCGATCACCAGGGTTTCCGCACCGACTTCATGCTGGACATTGTGGAGCTTACACCAGCGGGAATCCGCAAGATCGGCACCTGGAACTCCACGCTACCCGATGGCATCAACTTTACACGTACCTTCAGCCAGAAGCAGCAGGAGATTGAGGCGAATCTGAAGAACAAAACCCTAGTGGTGACCACCATACTGGTAATGTTATAAGACTTGACTACCATGATCATCCGTCGATCATCATCTGCTTATCCCTGTTTTTCTCTGTAGAGCAATCCGTATTGCATGCGCAAGGAGTCGGCTGTGCCGCTCAGTGGCAACGATCAGTTCGAGGGCTATGCTGTCGATCTAATCCATGAGATCTCCAAGTCCCTAGGTTTCAACTATAATATACAACTGGTACCCGATGGCAGCTATGGAAGTCTGAATAAATTAACAGGGTAAGAATTAATGCCCAGTATGTTTCTTGAATAAAGTCCTCAACATATTCTTATAGGGAATGGAATGGCATGATACGAGACCTGCTGGAGCAGCGTGCCGATCTGGCTATCGCGGATCTCACCATCACCTTTGAGCGGGAACAAGCTGTGGACTTTACCACACCCTTCATGAACCTGGGCGTATCCATCCTCTACCGCAAACCCATCAAGCAGCCACCCAACTTGTTCTCCTTCCTGTCGCCCTTGTCGCTGGACGTTTGGATCTACATGGCAACAGCCTATTTAGGTGTCTCAGTGCTGCTCTTCATTCTGGCCAAGTAGTTTAATGTCAAAAGATGCAATTTTCGTTGCTAAGAAATGGCTTTTCTATAGATTCACACCCTACGAATGGCCAGCCTACACCGATGCCCATGGCGAAAAGGTGGAGAGCCAGTTCACGCTGCTCAACTGCATGTGGTTTGCCATTGGATCGCTGATGCAACAAGGCTGCGACTTCCTGCCCAAGTAGGGATAATCAACATAACTTTTTCAAGTTTGGGATGACCAAAGTAATTTTCTTTAGGGCTCTATCCACTCGTATGGTGGCTGGGATTTGGTGGTTCTTCACACTGATTATGATCTCTTCGTATACGGCCAACCTGGCTGCCTTTTTGACGGTCGAACGCATGGACTCGCCCATCGAAAGTGCCGAGGACTTGGCCAAGCAGACGAGAATCAAATACGGTGCCCTCAAGGGCGGCAGCACAGCGGCTTTCTTCAGGGTATGTGGGGAAAGTGGTCTGAAAGATTCGAATCTGTTTTCATTGCAATTTTCTTTTGTCAGGACTCAAAGATCTCCACGTATCAGCGCATGTGGTCGTTCATGGAATCTGCACGTCCCTCCGTCTTCACAGCCAGCAATGGCGAAGGTGTTGATCGTGTGGCCAAGGGCAAAGGTATGCCAGAAGTCTTAACTGAATGTTAATCCTGCTCTAAAATCATATCTATATATTTAAAGGTTCCTATGCATTTCTGATGGAGTCCACCTCCATTGAATATGTTACCGAACGAAACTGCGAGCTGACGCAGGTCGGAGGCATGTTGGACACCAAAAGCTATGGGATAGCCACACCACCAAGTCAGTCCCAAAACGCAACTACCCAGAGAGCATTACCTGAATGACTTTTATCTTTTTAGATTCACCTTACCGCACTGCCATCAACAGTGTCATACTCAAGCTCCAGGAGGAGGGAAAGCTGCACATACTGAAAACCAAGTGGTGGAAGGAGAAGCGCGGCGGTGGCAAGTGCCGTGTGGAAACCTCCAAGTCATCATCGGCGGCCAACGAACTGGGCCTGGCCAATGTGGGCGGTGTGTTTGTGGTGCTAATGGGCGGCATGGGGGTGGCCTGTGTCATAGCTGTCTGCGAGTTCGTGTGGAAGTCACGCAAGGTCGCCGTCGAGGAGCGTCTAAGTGCGATTCTAAATGAATGAGAAAAGTCATAAACCCGGGATGAATGGGTTTAAAGGAAAAAGGCGAGATCGAGTATGATATGTTTGGTATGAGTGTGGTCGTGGAACTTCAATCAAAAATGCAAGTAAAAGGCGGAAGATGTGCAATCCAACCGATTCTCTAGAGCATACATCAACAACAATAGTATAAAAATAGCCCGTTGTCGCTATCCCACGCAGACGTAGTACTTAGATATTCGATACGATATACAATATTTTTGGGATTACATAGTTTGTACGCTGCCAGTGTGTTAATGGAGAGATCTAGACACAGGAGCCACCAATGAAAGTTTGCACTACGTTCAAATTGTTCGACAAGTAGCGGGCAACCCGAGTCAAGTAATAAATATACACTAAAACTGCAAACTTAGGAAAGATATAATATGTATATTAATTCGTATATATATTTATACAGGTTATACTTATACTCCCTTTCGTAACTTACTCGTAATAATCATATACATAAACTATACACTAAAGGAACCACAACAACGCAACAACGCAACAACTTACAACAAATCGAAATCGAATCGTATTGCATTTATATTTGAAAGCATTTTTGGGAATTGACCTATAGGAGTAATTGTAGCTAAATTATACGAGTACGAGTATATAAACATGAAAAGATATATACAAACCCATAATCCAGACGACAAGATCAGCGTGTTCGAGTATCCCTAAGATATCTGGACACAGTTTACACATAAAAAGAACAAAAATTCCGATATTTTCAACGGACAACTAGCCAGTAGACCTCTCGCCTAAGTGTAACTGTAACTCTTAGCTTAGACATACAATCCCCAAACCCCCCAATCTATTACCCCTCCAACTGCCCCTCATCCTAAGACATAAGATTGTAAAATGTAATTATCGCGCATACAGGCAATTCTGACAAACAATTTCATAAAATTACTTATAATTAAATAAAGCAAGTTAACAAAAACATCACCAAAAATCTTGTACGAATCCCAATCCGATACCACCTGATGAACACCTGGGGCCAATTGAACATTGATGTCGAGTTGGCTGTCGACGCCTAACCGCAAACCGTCAATCACATTCCCTTCAGCCGATTCCTGTTCACTTTCTCCACAATGAATTTTTCATGGGCCCTGCACGCGCTGTTGTGACTGCATGCAGTCCAATTGCCGGGTTTTAATTGGAATTTTTGTTATCAGAAAGAGGTTACCTCGTTGGCTAGGCTGTCCAGCGGTTCGCAGTTGCCTTTCAGGTATCCTGGCGGCATGAGGTCATCGGGCTGTCTTCTGCTCCTTTTCGGATTTCAGCTCTACTTCCTTTCGTGGCCAATGGCGGTGGAGGGAAACGACTTTTCCTCATTTCTGAGCGCCAATGCTTCTCTGGGTGAGTTCTGGTTACACCCGGGATAAAGATAAGTCTCCACTAATCATGTGTATAGCTGTTGTGGTGGACCATGAGTACATGACCAGGCACGGCCAGAATATTATGGCCCATTTCGAGAAAATCTTAAGCGACATCATACGGGAGAACCTGAAGAACGGCGGCATCAATGTACGATACTTTCGCTGGAACGCGGTGCGGTTAAAAAAGGGTAAGAACTTATCTGTTCTGATGAATATCTGAGCCCACATGTATGTACATACATATCTCAGATTTTCTGGCTGCTATTACGGTGACGGACTGTGCGAACACCTGGAACTTCTACAGGAGCACTCAGGAGACCTCAGTGCTGTTGATCGCCATCACAGACTCCGACTGTCCCCGTTTGCCGTTGAATAAAGCTTTGATGGTGAGGCAAAGTTTGATTCTTAGTGTTTAGGGCCCAATCCCATTGGCTTTGTTTGATAGGCTCCCATGGTTGAGCATGGCGATGAATTACCCCAGATCGTACTCGATGCCAAGGTCCAACAGATTCTCAATTGGAAGACGGCAGTAGTTCTGGTAGACCAAAACATATGTGGGTATCCTTAGTCTCTCGAATACTCCAACAGTGTAATCGGATTTGACTTTCAGTGGATAATAACTCCGAGCTGGTCAAGGCCATAGTGCACGAGAGCACCACAAATCACATTGCGCCGATATCATTGATTCTCTACAAGATTGACGACTCCCTTCGAGGACAGAAGAAACGGGCTGCCCTGCGACATGCGCTCTCCCATTTTTCTCCAATCAATCACGAGCAGAAGAATCAACAGTTCCTTGTTTTGTCCAAATTTCATGACGATATCATAGAGATTGGCGAGACGATGAATATGTTTCATGTGGGCAATCAGTGGATGTTCTTTGTGTTCGAGACGATGCGGCAAGACTTTGATGCCAGCACGGTGACCATCAACCTGGCGGAGGGAGCAAACATAGCCTTTGCTCTGAATGAAACGAATACCGATTGCATGGACACGCTGAACTGTACGATATCCGAGATAAGTATGGCTCTGGTGACGGCCATTTCCAAGATGACGGTCGACGAGCAGTCCATATACGGTGAGATCTCCGATGAGGAGTGGGAGTCCATACGCTTCACCAAGCAGGAAAAGCAGTATGAGATTCTAATGTACATGAAGGTAATGCTCGAGTTTATTCATGTACTAACATACACAATACATACCGAATGATCCTTAGGAATACCTTAAGACCAACAGCAAGTGTGCCAGCTGTGCCAAGTGGAGATTTGAGACAGCCATCACCTGGGGCAAGAGCCAACAGAATCGGCAATTTCGAACGGGTAAGTCCAGTCCAGGTGAGATTCTCATTCCATGGGTTATCCCTTACATCAGGCCATACTCTTTAGCTCCCACCAGGGATGCCAGGAACCAAAACTTTGAGTTTGTCGATATTGGCTACTGGAGTCCCTTGCTGGGATTCGTTTGCCAGGAGCTAACATTCCCACACATCGCGCAGCACTTCCGTAATATCACCATGGACATTGTGACGATGCATGTGAGATTTTGAATCTAATATATAATATAATCTTACATGTATATATGGTTCAAATAACTCGTAGAATCCTCCCTGGCAAATACTGACCAAGAACAGCCACGGAGTCATTGTCGAGCACAAGGGCATTACCTTGGAGATACTGAAGGAGCTGAGTCGGGCCCTAAACTTTAGCTATTACCTGCACGAGGCAAAAACCTATGACGATGAGTTTCCCCTCAATCAGAGCACCAACGAGAGCGTAAGTAAAAGAATACCAGTTTTTAGAAGATCTACTCAAATACCTTCCATTTCAGGACGAACTGTTGGGTTCAATGACCTACGGCATACCCTATCGCGTGGTGGAGATGGTTCAGGGCAATCAGTTCTTCATGGCCGCAGTTGCGGCCACCGTAGAGGATCCCGATAAGAAAGCGTTCAATTACACCCAGCCAGTGAGCGTCCAGAAGTACTCCTTCATCACCCGTCAGCCGGATGAGGTGTCTCGCATCTATCTTTTCACGGCTCCGTTTACCACAGAGACCTGGGGATGCCTGGTGGGCATCATCTTTCTGACGGCCCCCATGCTGTATGCCATCAATCGCCTTGCGCCGCTACAAGAGCTCCAAATCCACGGGCTATCATCGGTCAAGAGCTGCTTTTGGTACATCTTTGGGGCGCTGCTGCAACAGGGTGAGTATACCAACTAAAAAAAATCTCTACTATCTACTTGAAAATATGGTTACGGCAGGTGGCATGTACCTGCCCAGAGCAGACAGCGGACGACTGGTGGTGGGCTTCTGGTGGATCGTGGTGATTGTGCTGGTGACCACGTACTGCGGAAACCTAGTGGCTTTCCTCACGTTTCCCAAGTTCCAGCCGGGCGTTGACTATCTGAACCAGCTGCATCGCCACACGGAAATCTCCCAATATGGCCTGCGAAACGGAACCTTTTTTGAAAAGTATGTGCAAAGAACGACGCGCGATGACTTCAAACAGTATGTGGCCAAGGCGATTATATACAACAATGGCCAGGGCGAGGATATTGAGGCGGTGAAGGATGGACAGCGCATCAACATCGATTGGCGCATCAATCTGCAGCTGGTTGTGCAGCAGCACTTTGAGCGCGACAAGGAGTGCCGGTTTGCCCTGGGCAAGGAGAGCTTTGTCGACGAGCAGATTGCCTTGATTGTGCCCTCGCAGAGCGCCTACTTGCATTTGATCAACCAGCACATAGATAGAATGTTTCGCATGGGTTTCATCGAGCGCTGGCACAGGACCAATCTGCCCAGCGCGGACAAGTGCAATGGCAAAAGCATCCTCAGACAGATCACTAATCACAAGGTAAACATGGATGACATGCAGGGATGCTTTCTGGTGCTGCTGCTTGGCTTCATTCTGGCTGTATTCGTTGGCTGCATCGAGTACTGGTTCTATCGCCTCTACGTCCAAAGCGACAGTCGCAAGCCGACCGTTTTCACCAATTGAGAAACGAAACATTACACGGACCAGTCGCGTCGGGTTTACAACTTGAAATTTGTAAAATAGTTTGTTTAATTTTTGAAAATTACTTTATGAACATCATTATGCATTAAAAGATAGCGACTTGTTCATCATCCCAGAGACACGGTTCACACTTTACGTGGAGTTGGCGTTGGGGCCACGACGACGGCCGAAGCCCTGGACAAAGTTCACGAAGCGGCGATTGTACTGGATCCTGCGCTTGGCGCGGCCGGTCTTCTTCTTCTTCTTCTCCTGCTTCTCCACCTTGGGGGTCTGTCCCTTGACCTTACCGGCACGAGCCAGAGAGCCGTGCACCTTACCACCAAGCATGGGAATGTTGATGTCCAGCTCGAAGGAGCTAAGCGCGGTCACGGGCGTCTCGTTGGCCAGGGTGGTGCCCTCGCAGTTGAGGCTCACCTCCTCGGCGTTGAAGCCATGCAGCTGGGCGAGCTGGTTCTGAATTCCAAAAAACAACAATTAGGTTAGGGTTGGACTATTGTTGTTGTAGCGAACGATGTCAGCCCGCGCCGTCCGTACTCACCTTGACTCCAGCGATGGTGGCATCCTGGGACACCTCCAAAGCCTCAATAGTTTCAAATCCACGTACGAAAAGCTGCATCTTGACGCGATCTGCAACCGAACGACGAAAAGACAAATTAGTTTCCACTGTAGCAGAGGCGCGACTAAGCGAAACACGTGTGCCGATTCAATCACTCATTTCAACAGTTCTCATTCGTCAAGACTCTGGCATTTCATGCACCACCCATCCAGAGCACACTCGGTCACGCATTTTCACCGTCTTTGTTGTTGAACTCTCATTTTTTCCATATTATTTAGCAAAAAATTATTCGCTCACCTTGTCACTCGGTGCGTGCGGATCGAAAAAGAAAGATGGCGATGGTGTGACCGCGCAGTTATGAAATACGGTCTGACTCTCAAAAATATACCGAAATATACCGACCCATTTGCAAAATATACCGTAAATATACCGATGAAGAAACGAACTTAGCCCACTTAAGCCTCTTGTATTTAAACTGTTCAACGACTTAGGGTAAATGGCGGAAAACATTACTGATGGTAGAGCAATCCATACCATTATTTCTCTGATCACGAAAAAAGATATCTTTCACCTGAATGGCGTTAAAGCTATTAAATTGTCAATGTCTTCGTTAGAATATTCAAATACCCCCTTGGTCTACAATGGGCTAATCGTTCGTGGTCCAGGATTGGGAACCATATTGCTTAATTTTGATGTTCCGTCAAATATTATGAGCTAGATAGAACATTTAGCCATGCCCACATAATTTCATTCAATTAATGAATCAATTTTCTAATTGACTGGCTTATTTTAAACACTTGCTTTTATTGGATTTACCTTTGCAAATGAAATTTAATAGATTGATGAAGTTGATAAAATATCCCATTACATACCGTACGATGTACCGTAAATATACCGCCTTGGCAACCCTACTGGCCAAGAGGTGCTGTCAACTACAGCTAGAGTGCGCTGGGTGCTGTTAAACGCAACAGTCTGTTGGCAGAAATTCTTTACATTTAAATTTGAAAAGCAGAGGCAAGTTTTCATTTCTGCATCTCCAAATTACACAAAAGATCAAAAAAGGGCAGTCTGTCTGACGCCCTGCTAAGCCAGCGCACCGCGCTTACCTCAATCTACGTAAAAATGGGAATTACGTTAATCCCCGTCCGTTTAGTCCATCCCGCGCCCGTCTTGACCCAGTTTTTCCATTCTACTAGTATTTGCGCATGCGCCTGCGCCTGGCCTTTGTCCGGCCCTAAGAATGGGACAAGAAGCGACCGCCGGGGACATTTGCTGTGTTATTCTACGCCATTAGAATAAATATTGCCGCATTGTTTGTCAAACAGGACTAGATTAGTAACATAAACATTCCTTCACTGAATTGAATTGAATGCAAATCATAAGCCGATTTCACAAATTTACTCGAATTATCTGCAACTAATGAGTGTGGCTTAAATTGCTCCAGCTGATCCTTCGAGTACTCGGTCTGTGTCTCTGACGGAGAATGGCTAGGGTCTGATGTGGAAAGTTTCCAAGAGACGGCGGTCTGTTCCCTGATAAATATGTGGACATGTGCTGCTTATTGATCGTATGCGACATTTGATATTCTCGATTTCAGTATCGATGGCCAACCCTTTGCTGCAGATCACCTTTCGATGCTCATTTGAGATAAGTAAATGGCGCACGCGATCCGCTCTTCCTGTTGTCCACTTGGGTCAAGATCCTTTGGCCCTTTCGTACTCATATGATCGGATTAGATGGGGGATTAGGTGCAGACATCCCTGGGATTTGCGTAAACTCATTTGCCCGGCTCTGTGGCAAAAATACAAATTCTATATACACTTGGAAAACGCATCCTGAAACATTGTCCCCCACTCTCCGTCGGAAAATGGTTCCGTCATCTTCTCAGGAGGAACTGCCGCTTTGTAATCTGATATTTTTTGCATGTTTTGCAAACAAAGGTTGCGGAAAAACAAATTATTCTTGACCATAAAAACAACAGCAACAATTACGAAATCGGCTTAGCCTGCCCTCCTCCTCCACCATTCCCGACTCCATCTCAGCGTTTGCTGTTTTTCCGGCACGCGAATTTCCTCATTTTCATTCACCATTTTTAAATATTTTCCCATATGGGCTAGACGGTATCTCTGTATGGGGCGGTCTTGTTTGATCCCATTATTCGAATGTGATGCCTGGTTTTGTGGGAAGCAAAATGAACAAAGTCAACCATTTTCCGTCATGAAATATTGAATTACTTTATCCAAATTGGATTTACATCAGGTGAAACTGATATGAGATGGTGTTTCATATGTGGGGAGAACTATACATACATAATTGATTGAATTTCTAATGCAGATGAAAGTTAAAAATGTATCCATTGTAGGGGAACATTTTTTATTTTTATCGGGATGCTCATATGTATGCTATTTCTATTGGTTTCTATTGTAGAAAAATTCAAAATCTTTCATTATTTGTTTAATGTTATTAAAAGCAAAGTATTTTAATAATAAAATATGGTTATTCAAAGATTTTATCAATAAACTTAGTTCAAAGACAAATATCCACTCTATGTAGTTTCAATCATTTGTTTTTACTTGAAAAGTTATGTTCTGTTCTCTCAATAAAATAACCACAAAATATCCTATAAAAAGGAAAACTCAGCTTCCGGGAACGAACCTTCTGGAAGCTTTCTTAAATGAGGCTCCAACCGTTTAAAGTTAAATAAAAATAATAGAACATTTTTCAGAAGATGTTACAGAAGAAGAACAGACAGAAATATTGTATGTTGCTATGTCGACAAAAGACTTTTTTATAAATAAAGTACAGTAGAGAGTTTTTTCATTTTGAAATAATCTTGCCAATATCATATTTCATTTCGCTTTGCTGCGGTAAGATATTGTAAAAAAAACAAAATTTAAGAAGCTGCTTCATTTTGAATACAACTTCTTTAGATATCATAGTCATATTTAAGCAACAAATTTCACTAGCTCTGGAATTCATTTTCCAAATTTCAATAAAGAACGCAGAATTTTTATCTCGCGAATAAAGAACTCTCAATAATTTAGGGTAATTGTTATTTAATTTATTTATAATATAATTTAACTTACTTTACTTAAATAATTTAATGAAATATTGTCTGTATAATTATTTAGATTTATTTGTACAACAATGAGTTTAAATTCAATAATAATTCCACAAGGTACACCAGTAACAGCCATAACGTGAGCGGTGCTCCACCATATCTCCCATTAAACAATGACAAGCATGTCCGGTTCCGGACTGGAGGCATTCGAAGAGAAGGTGGAGTCGCAGCTCTCATCTTTGTCGCGTTTTTCGCGTCGTTCGCGGGCGCGCCGGTTCTGGAACCAGATCTTCACGCGGGTGTTGGTCAGGTCGAGGGATTCGGCCAGCTTGTTGGCATCCTCGGCACTCAGATAGTTCGACTCCTTGTACGCACTCTCCAGAGCCTGGAGCTGGGCAGGAGTGAAGGGGATCCGTGGCAGGCGTCCAGGCGTACGTTTGGCGGGTCCATTCTGCCGCAGGGCACGTGGCAGCTTGGGCGGATGGTAGCGGGTGTACTGCAGCCAGTCGTACATGGGTAGATGTCCCTCCTCAAGAGCCACCACAGCCGGGGGCGATCCACGCTGCTCCTTGTATCCGGGATGCGCGTACGGATGAAATGGAATGCTGGCGCGGATTCGTTGCAGAACACCGACGGAGGCATTGGTGCCGATGTATCTATCGCCAGCGCGGTTCAATATATAATCGATGCTGAATTCACTCATCCTGGCGATCCTGCTGCTGGGCTGGTCGAATTGCTACTGTTGAGTTAGGTGCGCATCCTTGCGCTATTTAAGGACAGCCCACTCGAAGTCATCGCCGCCATTTTCCCGAAGCAGACAGCACTATGGCTATCTCCCTCTGCCGTTAGGATGCGCCAGGACGAGTCAGGCCCAATGCCAATCTCATTTGAAAGCAGCGAGGCGTTTAATAGGCGTTGCCCTTGTCCTCTCCCGCATTCCAGGTAGCGGTGTGCCACCGATTATTATTACCCTTATCAGACAGCAAGATTATGTCCGTTCCCTATCAAATGTTTGAACAATTTAAATTGTGCTTCAGCTTCTGTTTGTTGTTAATACTTGTATTTTTTTACCCTAACCAAATAAAGGATTTCGATTGCAACGCAGGTTTTCTCATTCGAAAAGACATAGTTTGGCTATCAAAATACTTAATAATAATTTAAAACCTTTCCGTTGGTAGTATATTGACAAATATCTCTATCCCTTGAGCATTATCATATATTAATAATATATTTAATTCCGATTAAACCACTGAAACCAGAACGCTTAAGAAGAGAGTATCCATGCTTCGGTTGTCAAGAATCGTTTTCGTCGTTTTCTGTGGTTATCATTTGAGGTTGAGGCAGAATCAACCACCCAGCCCCTAATGAACTCATCCGGCTGCCATGTTTTTCTTGTTTTCCATACCATCCCAACCAATCCAGTCCTTTTCGATAAGAAAACAAGTTGAGCCTGATATGCGTGTATGTTTTGATTGACTCGTAAATTTGTTTTCACAACAGTTGCACTCACGAAACGAGTTTTGAGGCCCCGAGGGGTATGGAAAGTATCAATTACACTATTCATTTCAGATTACCATTGGATAGTTAGCTTATGGGAAGCTACACAAGGAATAGACTGTCTTCTATCTATCTTGTTTAGGTTGCTTCTATAACACATCTTCTATAGGTTGCTATACTGGGGCTCATAAATATTGGTTGGGTTATTTTACCTATTGATTTATTGTTAAGTTTGAAAGAAAATTAAAAAATGTATTAAGATTTAAGATTAGAGTTAATTAGTTTTTGCATCTTCCCAAAAATCTGATATTGGTAATTGAAAAGTGACAACTGCTTGGGCAATTATCCGAGAGTAGTATCTGCCAATTGTCATGTAATTGTCAACTAATTTGCTCTTTGCACAATCACGACCCTGAAATTAGTTGCGGAAACAGTTGGCAGATACCAAAACCATACACAAGAAGATCGTCCCTAACGATGGACTACATCCGCACTCGAACGTGGTGGCTCTGAGAGACCGGAACAATAGCCATGAGATGCCAAACAGATACAAAACAGTGGTTCCTTTTTTGTGCTGTGGTCCTGCGGTTATCCGGGGCTGATCGCAGCCGAATTTGTTTTACAGACACAGAACTTCTTTGCTTCTTTCACCTGAACGCACCGCGACTGTGTCCCATACGAGTCCAATCGACTGATGCTGGGCACACTAGTGGATATTTTTTGGGTCTTGGGGTTCCATTCGGCAGAGGCCTCGAGGAAACCGCCGCCAGGTGAAATGGATAGCTGGATCAAATAGACAGATGAATTACCCTTCCTATGAACGGACATTATTTTGTCAAGCTTCAGATGCCGACACTTCTGCGTGCCTTTCAGGGAGATCAGAAATTGATTTATGGCCTCCACTAGCTGCTCAGCTATCGTCTTGGCCATTTGATCTGTGGAAGAAACCTCCGTGAAGCCACCACAGCCGCACCAATGGTCGTCGATGCCCGCGAGGAAACAGTTTCTGGACAAGGATACCGCTTGGAAGACGCTGTGACAGGTTGGACAGCCCTCGGGTCGGGGCAACTGTTCCGCGGGTGTGTCCAGCTCCAAGATGTGCTTGAGTGTGGCATGGATATCGTACGGTGAAGTCAGCCGGTTCTTGTTTGCCTTCAAGTTGTCCAGGAACTCCGGATACTTGTCTCGGATCCATTTCGGAAGACGTATATAAATAACCGGCATCCGCTCCTCTAGAAAACCGATGGCTAATTTACGCAGCAACCCGAATCGGGTGCCATGATCGCTGAAGAAGATGATGATGGTGTTCTGCATGATCCCATTGTGCTCTAGGGTTCTCATGTACTTGACCATCCTGGCATCCATGGCCGATGGCAAGGAAAAGTCGTTGTGGCTAAAGGAGTTGGTCCAGAACATGCCAAAGAAACTACGATTCTTGTGAACCTCTGTAAACTGCTCGGCCAGGTCGTAGATGTACTCAGCGGAAGACTTTCGTCCCAAACAGTATGGTAATTCCTTTTTATCCTTTTTCTGCAGTTCCTTCTCCAGGGCCAGGACCAGAGGGCGTCCATACACATCCGTGGGACGCCTCCGAAAGCCCTTCTTCAGATAGTCGAATGTCGAAATACTCGCCCAGTCCTCGGCGTAGGCGGTCGCATAGCCTTCCGCCTTAAATCTCTTCCAGATCATGGGACAGGCATCCAGGCCACCCACTGCGGTTGGTCGACACTTTGAATATGATCGGGTTTGATTGAAGCCCGTGAGAATTGCCATCAGATTGGGGAAGGTATTGTCGCCCATCTACAGAACAGAAACCATCCATTAATCAACGAATCTATAGTACTATACTGCGCTTTACAACCTTATTATAACCCTGCAGCTCGTACCAAGGCTGTTCCCGAAAATACTTGTACGTCAAGGGCATGGTTAGCTCAAAGTTCATACGTGAAAGCGAATCGATACCCCAGAGCAGGACGCTGGGCCTTTCCTCAGGAGATGATGAAGGAGTTGGGTCTGGCTTCTGTGGATGTACGAAACTAAAGCCATCCTTTTGCAAGACTTTCGAACTGTATGGCCGACGGCATTCAGTTATCACTGCTTCTACGTCTGGAGGTACCACAAAATCCTGGGGGAACGTAACGCACGACAGCAACCTGCAGAAATGATGCAGAAAGCATCCTTCGGATGCATAATTTTGTATGAATATATCTACAGCACTCACTTGTACTTGTATTCAGCTATTGTCCGAACTTCTCTTAAGATCTGCTTGTAGCAACATGCAGCATTGGGATAGTTTTTGTGCAGTTTGTAGGTCTGATCTTTTTCATTGTAGATGACCTTAAGCATGTCCGGGTCCTTATCACACACTACATATCGTTTCCTGTGGTATATGTTTAAGATATTTCTAGAGAAAGGGTTTAGATATGGCATTTGACACTGAGGGGTATTCACAGAAAACTTTATTTTTTTTTTCTCTGGCTGTACTGCTTTGGTGATCCTTGCTATCGATTGGTTATAGACTATGTTCTTAGTTGGCTGTCCATTATCCGCGGTTGAGTATTCATTGTCCGTGGTAGACTGTTGAAAAACAGAGGTTACAGGAATCGCCTCTAAATTGCTGAATGCGTCAACCGCTGTCGGAGTACCCAAAGTGCTGGCTTCTAGGTGAACTACTCCAGGACTCCAAGTGTAGAAAGCCAGAGTCACGAGCCCTACAAATATAAGCCCTAATTGTAGTATCCATGGTGCAGTTTTTTTCCTTGAACCAATGCTCTACGTCAGTGGGAATTAGTTGGTATTTAGTGTTTTACAAGCTCTCGCCCATATTAACAGCATTTTCGTCACAAAAAATATGAAATAGTGGGAGCCGATACCAGAGAGGCATAACCGTACTATAGCTTCGACAGTTACGTAAAAACCAATAGCACTACGTCCGTGCATTCCTCTCTCTGATTCTCTCTCGATTTAAAACCGTACTCATACAAATTAAGGATCAATACTTACATAAATACTCGTAAATGCAATTTCTACCCAAGCGGAACATTTTAGTCGAACTATGTATAAAGACAGATTCAGGCACAGAATGGAATTCTTTTTGAGAATATTCTCGTTTTTACGCCAGGTCTTAATTTTGATAATAAGGTGAGACGCGAGAGGAGAGTCGATCATGACTAGATCACACTGCCTTTCTGTCCTATCATACAATACAATATAATATGTACAATCATCACCCTATTCCTTGGAAAACATTTAAAAAAGGTCAGAATCGAAATATCCAATATAGTTTCATATAGTCGTAGTTTTTTTATGGTATTAGTAATTTTTTTTCAGATTTCATGTATCAAAAATAAGGTTAGCTCTCATCACATAATTCCCTTGAACTTACAGATCGAATACGTTTTTTCTCAAAAATTTAATTGGTTTGTTAATTCCAAAAAAATTGTTTTCAACGCAAAGAAAGAAACATCTCCCATCCCAGCCCAAGGTTACGATAATATATATGTATGTATATTCAAGCGCTTACATAATGTAAGTACATATTTAAATATACATACATATAGTATAACAGGTTTTGACATAACTCAATAAGATTTGGTTAAGGTCGGACCCCTACATACACTCAGAAAAAAATTACATTTTTATGAATTTAGAATTTACGTTGACTGAAATATCAAACTATTTTCATAGTTAAGAAACACTTTAAAAAATATCATATATTAAAATTGTAGGAAATATAAAGTTTTAATCTATGTTTAAACATATTGAAATTAAATATGAAATAAATTTGTTTTTGATATAAAAAAAAATAAATAAAATTTGATATTAATTTCTAGATGTACATACATAAGTGCTCTCTCTGTTCAAACCTATTGGTCTATATGTATTTTCAAATTTAATATTAACATGTCAGACTCTGCACTAGCTACTATAAAAATAATTGGTGACAAATAAATTTATTGAATTCAAACTATATTGTTTATATACATAGTCCAAACTTCCAGGTTTAATAAAGTATGGAGACTCTTGATCTTTCTCTTGCTTGAGCCTGTTCTTTCTGCCTTTACTTCAAAATCATACAACATAAATTACAAATTATCTTTCACATCTACGAACTCACATTAATTGTGTTAATCACCAGTGATTTTTATTGATTTACAGTCGAAATTCCATTCGTTTATTTTGCTTTCAAATAATTCGTAATTTTTT